GGCAACATTCCCTCATTTCCTCTTCCAGGAAATCCATCCCATCTTGCTGGCAGCATTTCCTCATTCCCTTTTCCAGGAGATCCCTTCCACCTTCCACCTGGCAGCATTCTCTCTTCCAGGAGATCCATCCCACCTTCTGGCCAGCAGCATTCCCTCATTCCCTTTACCAGGAGATCCATCCCTCCTCTCCAGCAGCCTCATCCCACCTCACCCATCCCATGTGGACACGAGTGGTTTCCTCATGGAGCATCCCGGTTATAAATCCCACTTGGGGGAATTTTCCCTTCTGGGTGGATTCCAGCTCTGCTTTTCCCTTCTCCCAGCCCCTGGCTGCCTTCCCGCTCCAAAGATCCTCCTGGAAGTGAACATTCCCTCCTTTCCATGGATACAACGCTTCCATGGAGCCTCCACCATCTGTTCCAGGCTCCGATTATCCACGCACGGATTGGGAATCTCCCATTAGCCGCACTTCGGAGCGGCTCCGATCCCGCTCCAGCCCTTTTGGAAGGATTCCTTTGGATTTTCACATGGATTTTGGGGCCTGGCAGGCTCAGTTTGGAATTCCCAAGGATGGGAGACAGGGAACAACCAGCCCTGGAAAGGCAAATGCTCCCTGGCACATCCTGGAGTTGGAAATACAGGGACAAAGGGATTTGGGAATTCCTAATGAGGGTGGGATTTTAATCAAGGGGAAGGGGAAAAAAAATGGGATTGGAGGGGTTGGATCTCTCCCAGCTTTGCTCTTTATGGCACAGAGCCAGGATGGAAAGAGGCGGCGCTGGAGCCCCTGGGCTGCGCTGATAAGGCCGGGAAAACGCTGATAAGGAGCGGGAAAAGGCTGATAAGGAATGGGGAAAACGCAGATGTGGCTGGTTTCTCCTGGGATAACGTTCTCTTGGATGGTTCCTCCTGGGATAACCCTGATCATGAGCGGGAAAACGCTGATAAAGCTGACTCCACCCGGGAAAATACTGATAAGGAGGGTTCCATGTGGGAAAACGCTGATAAGAAACCGGGAAAATGCAGAAGTGGCCGGATTGTCCCGGGATAATTCTGCCCGGAAAAACGCTGATAAGGACGGGGATAATGCTGATAAGGAGCAGGGTAACACTGATAAGGACGGCTCCTCCTGGGATAAAGCTCCTTGGGATGGCTCCAGCTGAACCACGGCAAAGATTCCTCAAAAAAGGGAGAGAAGAAATAGATGGATGGAAAAAGAAAGGGAGAATGAACAGGAGGAAAAGCCTGGATTGGGAAATGCTTCCTCCATCCCTAAACTTTTCCTGGCTTTGCCCCAATTCTTTGGGAGAGCCCAAAATCCATCAGGACCTTCCCAAAAAATCCAATGACTGGGAAAAGCAGCCCTGGGAATGATCTCCTCAGGCTGGCTCCTGTTTTCCTTGGGAAAAAAAGACCATGCGATGAAAACCCTTTTCCTACTGACATCTCCCATCTCCACACTCAATTTCCCGGACATTCCCGAGGCTTTCAAGTGCCTGGGAATTTTCTGCTCCCAAATTCCATTTGTTCTACAACATGTGGAGAGAGGGAGGAAAACAGAGAGCTGGAGCCAGGAAAAGTGGGAGCATTTCCTTGTCAGGTCCGGGAAATATTCCATGAGCAGGGAAGGGGTGATTCCTTGTTCCTGCTCCAGGATTATCCCAGTTCCTCATGCCATGAGCAGGGAATGTTTGATCCTTGTTTCCGGTTCAGGGATTCTCCTGATCCCTTTTTCCATGGAATGTTTCAATCCTTGTTCCTGCTCCAGGATTCTCCCAGTTTCATTTCCAGAGGAAACGAGACTGGAAGGGGACGGGGAGGAAGGGAAATTTGTTCCCAGTTTTTTCCCTCGGATGAAGCCTCTCCTGACCTTTTTTGCCAAGCTCCAGAGTTGGTTTTAGAGCAGCAGGAATGGAGCAGGTATGGAATCAGGAATAAACCTGGAATTCTGGAAGTGATTCCCACTTGGATTAAAAGCAAGGATGCGCTCCCGTGCCTGTTTTATAAACAAACATGGATCTGTTTTTCCCAATTTTCCCAAGCTTTGGATTTCTCTGCCCATTCCCACCTCTAAAAATCCTCATTTTTCCCACCTTTTCCCTGAGAATCATCAGGAAAACGGGAACAACGCTTGGATGGGGCATGGTTTCTGCTGGAATCCTTTCAAGGGCGCCAAAAATAGGGAAAAAAATTCCTAAAAAATTTAATTGATAGGAACAAAGGACTCACCGCACGGTGGATTGGTAAACGAGGTCTTCCCGCTTCCGGTAGTTTTCCATCTGGGAAAAGTTGGTGGAAAACATGGCATCGAAGGTGAAGATCTTCTGCTTGATGGTGCCACCGTCAGTGACCTGCGGGAAACAACCCCAGGGTCCTAAATCTGGGAATTTTGGGCCCTTTTTGGAATATTTCAAAGGGTTTTCATTCCAAGAATTTGAATAAATTGATTTTTATTTGAATAAATTTGTTTAAATTTGAATGCATTTATTTAGATTTTAATATATTTATTTGCATTTTGAAATAATTTTTAATATTTTGGTATTTATTTAGATTTGGATAAATAAATTTGTATTTTAATCTGTATTAAATGGTGTAAATACATTGATTTTAATATTTTATGTTGTGCATTTTGATGCTTACATTAGAATTGTACTTTTTGGTTTTGTTTTTATTTTTGTTTTTTTATTTTATGTTTATTTTAAGGTTTGTTTTTGTTTTTATTTTGGTTTTGTTTCTGTTTTATTATATAATGATTTCCACATTTATCCATAGTATCCCAGCATCTTTCATTTTGGAATTTATGGATTTATGATGCCCCTGCTGGGGTGAAATCAAAATCCACATTTTCCATCCCGTTATTCCATTTTCCAGCTGGGAATTGTAATTTTTAACTGGANGCAGAACGATCCCAATCCCTGAGACCCCGCAGTGGTTTTCCCTCGATCCCGATCCCAGCGCTCACCCATCACATTCAGGAACACATTCCCGGAGGCCAGCACCACCTTCTCCCGCGTGGCTCGGTCGTAGATCCCCACGTGGCACTCGTAGGGACCGTTGTCCGAGATCCGGACCTCGGGAAGGCTGCGGAGGAGGGACAGCGCTCACCACTCCATCCCCACCCCGTTTCCCCGTGGGATTCATCGATCGGCACCCGGATAGAGCGGAGTTGGACAGGGATCAATAAACTCTTAATAACTCCAAAGGCTGCGGGAGGAGCTCGGGAATGCTTTAGCAGCCGGAGTTCCCCGGCACTGACAGCTCCTCCGAGGGGAAGGAATTGCGTTATTGGAAGGAGACGTGGATGGAGCACAAATCCATGGCCACAGGTATCGCCTGCCTGCGGATGCCAATGGGAAACCTTGACACCAGCCCTGTGAGGCTGCCCCAGCACAGCAAATCCCAAATTCCCAGATAACCTGGAGTGTTCATCAATCCACCTTTTATCCAGAGGCTTTAGATAGACTTGGGAAAAACAGGAGAGGAGGAGTTGTGCCAAAGGATCCGTGCTGCTGGAGCTGGGAATGCATGGGAGGCTGCACAGGGGTCACTTGGCTGATGGGCAGCATCCCGGCTCCCTGGGAGCAGCATCCCACCTTCCTGCTCCTCAAAATTCCACCTTTCTGCTCTCCAGAATCCCACCTTTCTGCTCCTCAGCGTCCCACTTTTCTGATCCCCAGAATCCCACATTTTTAATCTTCACCATCACACCTTTGTGGTCCTCGCTATCCCACCTTTCTGCTCCCCATAATCCCACCTTTCTAGTCCTCACCATCCCACCTTTCTGCTCCTCAGATTCCCACAATTCTGATCCCCAGAATTCCAGCTTTCTGCTCCTCAGCATCCCACCTTTCTGATTCACAGACTCCTACCTTTTTACTCCTTTGTATCCCACCTTTCTAATCCTCACCATCCCACCTTTGTGGTCCTCAGTATCCCACCTTTCTGATCCCCAGCATTCCACCTTTGTGGTCCTCAGTATCCCCCCTTTCTGCTCCTCAGCATCCCACAGTTCTGATCCCCAGAATCCCTCTTTTCCAGTGCTCACTGTGCCACCTTTCTTATCCTCACCACCCCTCCTTTCTGCTCCTCAGAATCCCACTTTTTTCAGCGTCCTCAGCATCCCACCTTGTTGATCCTCAGAATCCCACTTTTCTGGTCCTCAGAATCCCACTTTTCTGGTCCTCAGCATCCCACTTTTCCATTCAGCAGCACCATCCCCGCCTCACCAGCCGGCACCATCCCACCTTTCCAGCCAGCACCATCCCATCCCACAGTGCCAGCTGGAACCATCCCTCCTTCCCAGATGGCAGCACCATCCCACCTCTCCAGCTGGGAGCATCCTGCCTTTCCAGCCAATATCCCATCCCACCTCTCCAGCTGGGAGCATCCTGCCTTTCCAGCCAATATCCCATCCCGCCTCTCCAGCTGGGAGCATCCTGCCTTTCCAGCCAATATCCAATCCTGCCTCTCCAGCTGGGAGCATCCCGCATTTCCAGGCAGCATCATCCCACCTCTCCAGCTGGTCCCATCCCTCCTTGCTGGTCTGTGACTTCCCGCCTCCCTGGCCGGAAGCACCATCCCA